CCATGCAATTAAAAAGAAACTCTCAGGATGTCAGGAAGCATCAAAATTTTTGATCAAACACTGAGCTCATTCTAATTTTTGCATTCTGAGGTCTTTAAAGCCCAGCATAGCAGAATATTTAGCAGAACATGTTTACAAAGCAAACGGGGTTGGAGTATTTGATGGAAACACTGTGTACAGTAACATATTTTTGATAATACTTATATGACGACATTCATCTAGCTCTCTTATATTGAAAATCTTAGTGAAAAGACACACGCCACAGTGAACAAATTTGAGAAGATTGCAAGACAACATACATAGATTGAAGAATGAATAATTAGGAGAAATTTGAGGAACAAGAGAAGGCTATGAACAAGAGAAGGAGCCTATTTCACTACTTAGTCAGATTACTGCAATCTCTATCTTGTCTCCATTTTTCTACATGAGACCCATGACTTTTGATAACATTTCCTACTAACAAAAAGCTATCCAGTTATTCACTACCCAGTGTTGGGAAAAAAGTTCAAAATCTAAAATGAAAACCGAAAAACCTTGAAATTCTCAACAGATCAAACAGCATTTGTGGAGAAAGAAAGAGTTCATTGACCAAATTTTTCACAGAGAGCTTGAAATCCTGCCACCAATGTCTGAAGTATTGCAGTGTGCAGAGAGTTGCAATGACGGAAATTTGCTGGCAGCAGCCAATTACGTGGCCTTCACTAAGGTCTTGAAACTATCCCAAAGCAGTACAGCTCAAAGCAGAGGTCCTGCACGGAGCCAGCAGTTGGCTTTCTCACTCTTCCACCACTCTCCCTCCCCTCCCCCCGCCAACTAACTGTTTGAACAATTGAAATTTTAGTGGTGGCTAACCCTTGAACAGATCTGAATGAGATATTTAAAATGTTACTACAAACCGTACCTTTATCTGTAGGCTGAACTGAATGTTGTAAGCCCTGGAATTCATGTTCCCTGAATATTCCAATTGCTGGATTACACAATAATTTGGATACAACAATAAAAATAACTTAACTGCAAAGAAATCTGCAATTTTCTGTGCAGGGGTTTGCTGTTTCAAGGCAGTGCCTTCTCAGTCAACAGAGAATTGAAGGTCATACTGATTGTACAGTTGCAACAACTGAGAGAGGGGACATGTCACACATGTGTCTGCAGGGCTGTACTCGTGTGTTTGTGTGTGCATATGGGAGAGCTTTGTCTCCATAGAATCCCTACAGTGTGGAAACAGGCCAATTGACCCAAAGAAGTCCATATCGGCCCTGTGAAGAGCATCACACACCCTAACACTATAATTCCATTGGCTAACACATCTAATCTGCATATCCTGGGACACTACAGGGCAATCTGCCATAGCCACTTCACTTAACCTGCACATCTTGACAAGTGGGAGGGTTTACAGCACCCGGAGGGAACCCATGCAGACACGGGGTGAACGTGCAAACTTGACACAGATGGGTGCCAAATGTGGAATCAAATCAGGGTCCCTGGTGGTATGAGGCAGCAGTTCTAAACATTGAGCCACCATGCCACCCCTTGATGTTGAAGTCTGTGTACACTCACATTCCACATTGATGGTTATGGAGCTCTCCAAAGCTCCATGTTCATTCTCTGCCACACACTGATACTCTCCAGTCTCTTTGAACATGATATGAGGAATCTCCAACCACAGCTCATTGTTGGAACTTGTTCTGTTCATTGTGGCATTAAGATGTCTCCACATCAGGTTAGAAGCTGGGAAGCTCTCGACAGAGCAGATTATCACTGCAGAATTCCCCTCAATTATATTGATAGATGAATCTTTAATCACAGCAAGAGAAGAAATTGAGAGATTCCGTGGCGCATCTAGAGACAAAGGAGGAGAATATTGTGAGCAAACACAGTGCACAGTAAGACTCCATAACCATATCTATGACTCTGATATGTGGATCCCCCATAACCTGCTGAGTGGACGTTGCTGTATTACATTTCAGAAGGACACTGCCAATGTAAACTGTCACAGCCTAGATTGCTCCATCCACCAATGAGGATGCTGTCCATTCTGAAAGAAGGAAAATGTGTTTCACATCCTCACAATATTCCCAAAGCCTTGGCAGCAATGAATTGGATTTGATCAACGGAACATTGAGGGTTATGTTGTGATCACAGACCAGATCACTAGGTTCCCATCTGGTGAGGGACGAGGAGGTTTACTTTAAAGAGACAAATTATAAGATGCCACTTACCTAAAAGGAGAATAAATTCACAACATTCAATGGTGTTAACAAATGAAAAAAGTAACTATTCAAATTTAGAACAGTAATACAATTGGCAATATATACACAACTTCTATTATTTTTTCAAAGTTAACAGCGAGACTGTGATCGATTACTCTCACAGAACTCATCAAATACTAAATGAGTTGAAGATAGATCCCAAAAATGTCTCAGCAACACTGCCAGACATTAGTGACCCAGTGGATCTTGAAATCTCATTCAAATCTCATTTATAATGGATAGCAATTCCTCGCAATTTGAATGAATAATTGATCAGGGATATGTTCTGGGCCATACGCTGGGCCTCATATCACTGAAGGGTGTTGGTGGAGGTTTGCTTTTAAGACTGAGTGCTGTTACCAGCAGTGTACCACAAGGATCAGTGCTGGTCCATTGTGTTTTGTCAGCTATTTATACAACTGGGACGTGAACATCTGAGGCATGGTTACTAAGTTTGCAGATGACACTAAAATTCAAGGTGTTGTGGACAGTGAAGAAGGTTAACTCAGAGTACAACGTAATCATGATCAGATGGGCCAATGGGCTGAGAAATGGCAGATGGAGTTTAATTTAGACAAATGTGAGGTGCTACATTTTGTATAGAAAAATCAGAGTGGACTTATTCACTTAATAGCAACTACCAGGGGACCGTTGCTGAACAAAGAGACTTTGGAGTGCAGGTTCATAGTTCCCTAAATGTGGAGTTGCTTGTAGATAGGATCGTGAAGAAGGCATTTATTATGCTTGCCTTGATTGGTCAGTGCATTGAGTTTAGTAGTTGAGAGGTCATGTTGCAGCTTTATATGGTGTTGGCTTTGGAGTATTGTGTTCAATTCTGGTCTCCCTCCTATATGAAGGATGTTGTGAAACTGGAAAGGTCGAGAAAAGAGTTCTGCGGATTTTGCTAGGACTGGAGGGTTTGAGCTACAGGGAGATGCTGCATAGGCTGGGACTGTTTTCCTTGGAATATCGGAGGCTGAGGGTTGACCTTATTCAAGGTTTACAAGTCATGAGGGCCATGGTCTATTCCCCGGGATGGGTGACCCAAAACCAGACGACATAGGTTTAAGGTGAGAGGGGAATGATATAAAAGGGACCTACGGGACATCTTTATCACACAGAGGGTGATACGTGTATGGTATGAGCTGCCAGAGGAAGTGGTGGATGCGGGTATGAATATAAATTTAAAAGGCGTCTAGATATGTATATGAATAGGAAGTGTTTAGATGGATCTGAGCCAAATGCTGGCAAATGGGATGAGATTTATGTAGGATATCTGCTCGACATGGACTGAAAGGTCTGTTTCCATGATGTATATCTCTATGACTGTATTTTTCATGCCATACTGAACAATGCTGGAGAAGATTGGCTAAAAATTTTTAAGTTTGCAAAAACGTGCACTTTTACTTAAATAGTACTCAATGGTCAGAGTTAATACTGAGGTGAAACAGCTCAAATAAAATGTATTTTGTGTAATAAAACAAATGAACTGTTAATCATCCATATGGCAGTCCTCAACACTAAATCATGTCATTTTGTACTTGGAACACATCGTGCCTGTCTTATTATTCACTGCTGTAACTCCACCACTGCTATTGTCATCTCTCTGCACACTTCTAACTGCCTTCAACTGGAAGCACGTGGTCATTTTTGTAGACAGAAACCCTGAGCTTCTCATTGCCTACCATTTCAATATACTACTGTGTTCCCTCGTCATCATCTGTCTTGCACATCTGTCTAGTACTCCAGCGAAGCTCAGCGCAAGCAAGAGCAAAAGCACCTCATTTTCTTCATGGGAATTCTACAGTCTTCTGGACTCAACGTTGAGCTCAACAATTTTCAGACTTGAGGCACATTCTTCCATGTCCTGACCCAATCCCTAAACACCAGGCTTTCTTCAACCTCTAAACACCAGTGCCTTGTTATCACGTGGTCTGCTATTATACACAACGCATTGTTAACCACTAATGGTCCAAATTACCTATCCATTCTTCTAGTCTGATTGTTATCCACACCTTTGTCTGTCCAACTGTTCATCTGTGTCTTTGGGCTCTATCTCCACCAATTGGTTAAACCTTATCACCCTCCCAACACCCTATCCAATGTAAAAGAAACAACTTTTCCCCAGCTACCATCAGTTCCGAGGAAGGGTCACTGAACCCAAAACATTAACTCTCATGTCTCTCCACAGGTGTTGCCAGACCTGCTGAGCCTTTGCAGCAATTTCTGTTTTTGTAACAATTTATAGAATTTGCATTCAAACTTCCCATGACAATTTTAAAAGTTTGAATTCAGTTAATGAAATTGGAAATAAAAAAAGTAAGTTTTTAAAAAGTGCCATGCAATTTTTATTGTTTTAAAAACCCAACTAGTCACCACTTTCTATTAACAAACAGAGCATGCAAAACCTGTCCAACCTGGCCTATGCATGGGTCTCTAGTTCACCTAACTTCACTCTGCAGAGGTCCAGTCGGCCATTCAGTTGCACAAAAAAAAGCAGGATCAGATTGGCACTTTCACCACACCGACTACAATAGAGAGGAAAGTTACATAACGAGAAAAGTCACCATGTGGACTAACCATAAATCTGCCAGTTACGCCCACATCCTGAGATGTTGTTTTACAAAAACAGCAATTGTGAAAGTGGAATTCAATTTTCATGCTCCCATTAGCTCACTAAAATCTAATCCTTATATGTTAACCCGAGGAGAGCAGTACAGTAACTGAATGCCATCTCATGCAATTAAAAAGAAACCCTTAGGATGTCAGGAAGCATTCAGTGATATCAAAATTTTAGATCAAACACTGAGCTCATGCTAATTTTTGCATTCTAAGATCTTTAAAGCCCAGCATAGCAGAATATTTAGCAAACCTTGTTTGCAAAGCAAATTGGGGATTTCAGTTATTTTTGGAAACACTGTGTGCTGTATTTTTGATTATATTTGTATGAAAACATACATCTAGCTATATTATATAGAAAAGCTTAGTGAAGAGACACATGCCACAGCCAACAAATTTGTGAAGAATACAAGACAACATACATAGACTGAAGAATTTTAACTGGGAGAAATTTGAGGAACAAGAGTAGGCCTGAGCCTATTTCACCACTTAGTCAGATCACTGCGGTCTCTGTCTTGTCTCCCTTTAGCTACATTTGGTTCATGTCTTTTGATAATATTTCCTACTAAGAAAAAGCTATCCAGTTATTAACTATCCAGTGTTGGGAAAATAGTTCAAGATCTAAAATGAAATTTGAAAAACCTTGAAATTCTCAACAGATCAAGCAGCATTTGTGGAGAAAGAAAGAGTTCATTTACCAAATTGTTCAAGGAGAGCTTGAAATCCTGCCACCAATGTCTGAAGTATTGCAGTATGCAGAGAGTTGCAACAACAGAATTTTGTTGTCAGCTGCCAATTATGTGGCCTCCACTGTGGCCTCATTATTTTCTCAAAGTAGTACAGCTCAGAGCAGAGATCCTGCACAGAGCCAGCTCCTGGCTTTCTTGCTCCCCCCAACTAACTGCCTGAACAATTGAAGCTTAAGTGGTGGCTGACCCTTGAACTGATCTGAATGAGATATTTAAAATCTCGCAGCAAACCCCACTTTTGTATTTAGACAGGTTTGAATGGAGCAAGCCCTGGAATTCTTTTCTCTGAATGTTGCAGTTTTTATACGGATTGCTAGATTTTATAGTATATATGGATATAACAATAAAAATAAATTCACCGCAAAGAAATCTACGGTTCTTCGTGCAGGCGATTTCTGATTCAAGGCAGTATCTTGTCAGTCAACAGAGAATTGAAGCTCATACTGATGCTCCAGTGCAATAACTGAGAGAGGGGACATGCCACACATGTGTCTGCACTCGTGTGTTTGTGTGTGTATAGTTATTTTTCCGTAGATTCCTAACAGTGTGGAAACAGGCCATTCGGCCCAATGAACCACACCGACCCTCTGAAGAGCATCGCACATGCAGACCCATCCCCCTACCTGTATTTCCCATGGCTAACACATTTAACCTACACATCCCAGGACACTACCGAACAATCTGGCATAGCCAATCCAACTCATTTGTACATCTTGCAAGCGAGAGGAAGCTGGAGCACCCAGACGGAACTAATGCAGACACGGAGCAAATGTGTAAACTCGACACAGATGGTCACCCAAGGGTGCAATCAAACCAGGGTCCCTGGTGGTGTGAGGCAGCAGTTCTAAGCACTGAGCCACTGTGGCACCCCTACTGACCACTGTGCTGCCTCTTGATGTTGAAGTCTGTGTATACTCACATTCCACATTGATGGTTATGGAGCTCTCCACTACTCCATGATCATTCTCTGCCACACACTGATACTCTCCAGTCTCCTTGAACATGACATGAGGAATCTCCAACCACAGCTCATTGTTGGAACTTGTTCTGTTCATTGTGGCATTAAGATGTCTCCACATCAGGTTAGAAGCTGGGACGCTCTCGACAGAGCAGATTATCACTGTAGAATTCCCCTCAATTATATTGATAGATGAGTCTTTAATCACAGCAAGAGAAGAAATTGAGAGATTCCGTGGCGCATCTAGAGACAAAGGAGGAGAATATTGTGAGCCAACACAGTGCACAGCAAGACTCCATAACCATCTCTATAACTCTGACATGTGGATCCCTGTAACTTTCTGAGTGGTAGTTGCTGTATTACATTCCTGATGGACACTGCCAATGTAAACTGTCACAGTGTAGGCTCCTTCCCCCACCAATTAGGGTGCTGTCCCTTCTGAAAAGAAGTAAATGTCTTTCACATCCTCACAATATTCCCAAAGCCTTAGCAGCAATGAATTGGATTTGATCCCAAAGATGTCTCAGCAACACTATTTGATTTAATAATTGATCAGAGATATGTTCTGAGTCATACACTGGGCCTCATATCACTGATGGGTGGTGGTGGAGGGTTGCTTTTAAGACTGGAGGCCTGTGACCAGCGATGCGCCACAAGGATTGGTGCTGGATCTACTGTTTTTCATCATTTACATAAATGATTTGGATGTGAACAGAGGAAGTATGGTTAGTAAGTGTGCAGATGAACCAAAATTAGAGGTTTAGTGGACAGCAAAGAAGGTTACCTCAGAGTGCAATGGGACCGTGATCAGATAGGCCAATGGTCTAAGGAGTGGCAGATTCAATTTAATTTTGATAAATGTGAGGTACTGCATTTTGGAAAGGCAAATCAGTGCAGGACCAAAATACTTAATGGTAAGGTCCTCGGGAGTGTTGCTGAACAAAGAGACCTTGGAGTGCAGGTTCATAGTTCTTTGAAAGTAGAGTCGCAGGTAGATTTGGATAGTGAAGAAGGTGTTTGGTATGCTTGCATATTGGTCAGTGCATTGCCTGCAGGAGTTGGGAGGTCTTGTTGTCGCTGTATAGGACATTGGGGTTAGGCCACTTGTGGAATACTGCGTTCAGTTCTGGTCTCCGTGCTAAAGGAAGGATGTTGTGAAACTTGAACGGGTTCAAAAAGGGTTTACAAGGTTGTTCCCAGGGTAGGAGAGTCTGAGCTATACGGAGATGCTGCATAGGTTGGGGTTATTTTCCCTGGAGCATTGGAGGCTTAAGGGTGACCTTATTGACATTTGTAAAGTCATGAAGAGAATGGATAGGGTGAATAGTCAAGAGGTTTTCCCCAGGGTAGGTGAGTCCAAAACTCAGGGGCCTAGGTTTAAGGTGGGAGGGGAAAGATTTAAAAGGGACCTAACGGGCAACTTTTTCACACAGATGGTGGTGCATGTATGGAAAGAGCTGCCAGAGGAAGTGGTGGAGGCGGGTACAGTTACAACATTTAAGAAGCACCTAGATTGGTATGTGAATAGGAAGGGTTTAGATCAATATGGGTCAAATGCTGGCAGTGTGGGACTAGATTAATTTAGGATACCTGGTTGTCATGGATGGTTTGGAACAAAGGGTCTGTTCTTGTGCTGTACAGCTCTTTGATTCTATGACTCTAAGCATTTAATGAGCTTTACCTATACCACTTGGCTGCACTCACTAGCTCCGAGAACATCTCCTGACCCCTGATTACATGGCACTATAAAAATGCTCTTAGGATTCATCCCATGCTCCAAACAGAGGCAATCAGGCAGCTACAGAAACCTTCTGAGCAGCACAATGTTTATCTTACTTACTTCCAGGCAGCAACCATTGAAATTCTTTTTCCCTAAAGGTTACAATGTTTACCAGCTTACACAGTATAAATGGATAACAAAGAAATCTATAATTATGTACGCAGGGGACTGTTGGTTCAAGACAGCATCTGGTTAATCTGGAATTTCCATTCCTTCAGCAGAGAATTGAAGCTCATACTGATGCTCCAGTGCAATACTGAGAGAGGGGACATGTCACATGTGTGTGTGTGCAGGACTGTACTCGTGTGTTTGTGTGTGTATGTGAGATAGATGTTGAAGTCTGCATACACTCACATTCGACATTGATGGTTATGAGGCCCTCCACTGCTCCATGTTCATTCTCTGCTACACACTTATAATCTCCAATCTCCCTGTACGTAATGTGAGGAATCTCCAACCACAGCTCATTGTTAGAACTTGTTCTGTTCATTATGGCATTCAGGTGTCTCCATGTCAGTTTAGAAGCTGGGAAACTCTCGACAGAGCAGATTATCACTGCAGAATTCCCCTCAATTATATTGATCGATGAATCTTTAATCACGTCAAGAGATGTAATTGAGAGATTACGTGGTGAGTCTAAAAACAAAGGAAGAGAATATTATGAGCAAACAGAGTGCACAGCAAGACTGCAAATCCATCTCTCTGACTCTGATATGCAGACGCACCCTCCCCACATAACCTTCTCTGAGTGGAAGTTGTTGTATTACATTTCTGATAGACACTGGCTATGTAAACTGTCACGTTGTAGGTTCCTCCTCCCACCAATGAGGACGCTCTCCAATCTGAAATGAAGAAAATGCCATTCACATCCTCACAATATTCCCAAAGTCTCGGCAACAATGCATTAGATTTGATCAATGGAATATTAGGGATATGTTATGATCCCAGACCAGATCACCAGGTTACCATCTGGAGAGGAACCAGGATGTTGTCTTTAAGTGAGGCAATGTTTGAGATGCCAGGTCATTACAAAGAGAATAAAGTTATAAAATTCCATGTTTTAAATAAATAAGAAGAAATGTTATCATTCAAATATAGCTACATCGTATACTCTAATTTCCAAAGTTAGCGTGAGGTAAATATGATAATGCAGAAACTGTGATTGATCATCCCACAGAGCTCATTAAACAATAAATGAAGTGAAGATAGATACTGTGGATTTCTCAGCAACATTGCCAGACACTAATAACCCTGGGATTGCCAGATCTCATTAAATATTTCCAAGCCGTCCTTATTTCGCTTTCTAAAATATTAATGATACATAGTAATTTCTTCTTGGATTCTAACTGCATGATGTAGCCTCACCTATTTGCTCCCATGACTTCTCATGATTGCTGACTGCACTGGAGCTGTAGAACTCTTCATGGGACTTGATTCTGAGCTCCATTGAGATTGGAGTCAGTTTCTCAGGACCACAGGTCACATTACACTATCCTGCAGGGACCCAGCTCCAGTCTCTCTCTCTTCCTTCCAACTAAATGTCTAACTGACTAAAACCTAAACTAATCTCTGATTCTTGAACTGATATGAGTGACATATTAAAAAACATTATTGCAAACCACACCCTTATTTCTAGGCAGAGTTGAATGTAGTCACCATTGGAATTCTGGTTCCCTCCATGTTGCAATGTTCATCAATTGCTGGCTTACATGGTACAAATGATTTCAACAACAAAAATAA